TATATGTTGTGCGTTGTTTGTTGATTCTTGTCGATTCGGAATCAACAGGTGTCATTTTTGAATTTTCACCGATCAATAAATAACTCATATCAATCGGTGATTCAGATTTAAATAGTTATCGGACTTAATGACAATATTATGATAACAAAAGTTTAATAAATTAATTACGTATTATATCGATAAAGATCAAGTAGTTATCAGACTTAACGACAATATTATGATAAAAGTTTAATAAATTAATTATGTATTATATCGATAAAGTACATATGATCATATAAAGCAAAAAATAAAATTAAGACTGTTTTAGATATCTTTAGAATTCCTTTTTTTTCGTTAATAATTATGGAAATGCCAACTTTTACTTTTCTTACCCGTGAGTCTTTTGACCGCATTCTAAAAACATATACTGATCAACGAAAAAATAATAGAAGTTTAATGAATATGAATCGTTATAATGAATGTTTAAATATACTAAGAAATCCTAACCTTTCACATAATCCAAAACTTAAATATTGGGTTACCCATACCTTTAAGATTCTTCGCTTCAATACAACAGAGGAGCTTCATTTACTTAAAAGCAATGAAAATAATTTGGGGACACAAGTTTGCCCTGTAGAAAGTTTTTATGAAGTTATTTGTACTGCGCATCAAGAAACTGAGCATGGAGGGCAAGAGAAGACCTGGAAAAAAGTAAATTACTATTATTAATTGCATATTTGTTTGTTTCTAATTAAACATTAATTAAACAAATAATTTTTTATTTTATTTTAGATGCGAATTAGATATTGTTATGTCCCACAACAAATTGTTGAGAATGCAGTACGTGAATGTCAAGTATGTATTACAAGACAAGCTATAAAAAAAATTCCACCTATTCGCCCAATAGTATCTGAAGGTTTTTTAAACCATGTTCAAGTAAGTTTTAAAATTTTAATATTAGTGTATTAATTTATTTAATAATTTTTAAATTTTAATAATATTATATCTGTATATTATAGATTGATACAATTGACATGACAGCAGTACCCGATGGGCATTACAAATATATAATTCATATGAGAGATCATTTTTCAAGATTTTCTTATGCTGAGCCTACACCATCCAAGTCAGCCGAAGATGCTGCTGTAGTTTTATTTAATTTCTGCTTGATATTCGGTCCTCCAGCAATTCTTCATTCTGACAATGGTGGCGAATTTATTGGAAAAACTATTAAAGAGGCACTAAGTTTTTGGCCATTAATTAAAACTGTTCATGGTCGGCCTAGAAACCCACAGTGTCAAGGTCTTGTTGAAAAGGGAAATGGTATTCTTCAAAATAAGTTAGGAGCATGGATGGAGGAGACACATAGAAGTGATTGGAGTGTTGGTTTAAGATTTGTAGTCTGTAAGTATTTATATATAATTAGATCAAATTGTTTAATTTCAGTTTTTTTTTATATTTTAATATTCTTTTATTATTATTAAGGGGCAATGAATAATCAATACTGCAGGGCTCATAAAACTTCACCATATAATATTGTATTCGGACAGCTCTCTCATAGTGATACAAACATTTCTACAATTTTAAATGACAGTTATGAAAATGATAATCATCAAGATTCATTTAAAGAAAATGATAATTACCAAGATTCATTTGAAGAAAATAGTAATCATCAAGTTTCATTTGAAGAAAATAGTAATCGTCAAATTTCATTTGAAGAAAATAATGATCATCAAGCTTTATTTGAAGAAAATAATAATCATCAAGTTTCATTTGAAGAAAATAATAATTACCAGAGTTCATTTGTAAAAAATAATGAGCAAAATTTATTTGAAGAAAATGATGACTATTTCGAAAATAATAATTCATTTGAGGAAGATGATGACTATTATATTCGTGATTTTTCAGATGATGATAACCTAAATTCAAGTTATTTTTTAGCTGATGATTATTTTTCTGATGAAGAATTCTCTAAATCAGAATGTTCAAAGTTTGCAAACAAAAAGAGTTCCAATATTACTATATCTAATAAAATTAAAATCAACAATTCTAATTCAGAAGTCATCGTAATTAGCGATTCTGAACCAGATATTACTACTCGCCAAAAAGAAAAACAAAGAGCATATTCTATTGAACCACAAGAAAATAAAGTATATATTATTATATTATATTAAACTAATTTTATTATAAATATGTAATTCAATTTATATGTAATAAATTTTTTTAAAGCAAAGATCTCCATTACGTGTTATTACAAATTCTACTTGACCTTCTTTTGAAAAGCATGAGAAGATTCGACAAGTTGCAATTTTAAACATTAAAAAGAATCGAGAGTTCATTAGAAGTACTATGGAAATAAAACACAAGACTAAAAGAAACCGTGCATTTGAAATTAGTGAATTTGTAAAAGTTCGCATTCCTGAAATTGATAAAGTGAAGATGGATCGAAAATCAGTACCTTGTAAAATTATTCAGAAGAAACCAAATCAAGATTCTTACCAGATTGCCTGCAAATTTGGAATTATTGAGAACTGGTTTCCTGCTTGTGAACTTTTGCTATTAGGCACTCCTGATTATCCTGATCTTGACATTGTTCCACTTAATAATACAATCTCATTGCGACAAGCAGGTATTAAGCAAAACATACGCCCAATACATCCTTCAAGGCAAACAAATAATTCTATTGCCATAGAGTAAATATTATTATTATTATTATTTATTTGCTTACTTTTTTTTATTTCTTACTCATTGAACTTTTATTTCTAGCGATGATTTAATGTATTCAACACCTAATGCTAAAAAAACTCGTGACTGCTGCCATTGTAAAAAGACAAATTGCAACACCAAGTCTTGCACTTGTAGAAAAAACAACACATTATGTTCAAGGCGGTGTGGGTGCATTTTGCGTGACCAATGCAATAATCGATGAATAATAATTATTACAAAAAGATGTATTAGCTTTCTTTTATTATATACATTTTTTTACCGTTAAGGTCAGCAGCTAGTATTGAATATTCATATTTGTAAAGAAAGCGTCTAGCAATTTAGCTTTTAATATATATTCGTCAAGCATGTAATTTTTTTAATACTATATATCAAATATACATATGTAATTAATTGATCGGTAAAATTCATACCGATTTCCAAATGACTTAAGTTATTTATTGATTCAAAAATGACACCTGTTGATTCCGAATCGACAAGAATCAATAAACAACGCACAACATATATA